GGCAATACCGTGGACATGCGTTAATCTAATGACCATGCAACATGAGCTATCATGCCTCATGTAACATATTTCCATGTAAATATGATGTGCGACGTGCGCGATTCTCCGGGGTCCCTCTGCATGCATGGGTTGGCCACACCTATTAGGCACAAACGGCTTGAAGGTCAAGTCAAAACTATTCTTTGCTTTTGGCAGAATCGCAAAAAAAGAGTCAATTTTCCCTTTGAAAAATTGCAGAACGTTTTCAATCTGACAATTTTGCTAGGATCGGTTCTGGGTGTTTCTCATACACTACACAAACAGCTCCTGGACGTTTCTCATAGAGAACAAACAGCCAGGGGCAGGCCTGGACGTTTGTTTCAGAGAACAAACAGCCAGGGACGTTTGTTGCAGGGAACAAACAGCCAGGACGTAAAAGAAACAGCCAACCCCCAGGTTGGTACCTGCAGGCTGTAGCTTGCCTCGCGATCGAATCCTCGGTCGCGGAAAAGTCGACAGCCGATGCAACCTCTAGGTGAACAACCAGGAACTTCCGGAGCAGTTTCAACGGCCTCTGCAAGGTGTGCCCTGGGCTCGCCTGTCTCGGTGTCAACGGATCCTCCTTCAAGTTCAACCTCTTCCTGAGGATCGTCCTCTCGCGAATCCTGATCGCGATCCGGACTCTCTGGGACCCAGACCCAGAGCTTCTGCCACGACCCACGACGGGACCGTGACCGCTCTTCACGACCACGCTCAACGTAATCAACTCTCGAATCACTCTCTTCCTCACTCTCGCTAGGCGGCCTCGGTGGTGCCCGGCGCGTTTCCCACGTCTCTGTCACGTGGGGCGGTGGGTACTGCGGTTGACGCGGAGATCTCGCCTGGTAGACTTCTCGATGACTCGCTCGATCACCGCGTCCCCTACCAGTCCTTGGCCAGTCACGACTGTCGCGGCTTGTGCCGCGATCCCGACCACGCCCACGATCAACTCGACGGTACTCAACACCACGATCTCGATGCTGTTCTCGCTCAGCCCCTCTTCCACGGTCCTCCGTGGGGAGGCCCCTCTCACGGCGCGACAGTTGGCTCGGGCGGTTCGGATCCCCGCCACGTGGACCACGACGACGTCGCGATCTATCGCGCTCTCTTTCGCGCGGAGGCATGAATCGCGCTCGGAAGCGCGAGGCAATGAATGAAGCTCAAACAAGGTATCTGTTCTCTCTTCACTCAACTCGATGTTCAGTTCACACCTTAGTGGTATGTGTGTCTATGTGTATGGTCTCGTTTTTCAACCAATGGTCTCCTTGTAGCTCTTGCGGCTGATAACCAGTTGAAAGCTAAAACCTTGGTCTATCTCCTGGTAGGCCGACTCAAAACGCGAACGATCGTATCCGGTCGCGTCAGCAGCCCATTTTCCAAAGCTTGAGCCAAAGTAGTTGGCATCAGTACAAGTGGCCGTCTGCCATTTCTGGCCATGTAACTGTTTACAGTACACGATTTCACAGCATAGGACTATGTCCAAAAATGCTTTAGATCCATCTTTACCAAAGCTACATGCACATCTGCAAAGCCTCTCAGTCAAAGGTTCAGTACATCAACTTCTGGTGATGGTTTCAGCTGAGGGATTTCTTCTTTCTTTCTTCTGTTTTCGCCTTTCTCTTCTTTTTGCATTTATTTTTCTCTCTTTGGGATCTGTTTCTTTATGTTTGCCTCATTGCTTCTCTGTGTCCTTCTTCTATACCTTTAATTATTGTCATCATATTTATCTGTTTTTCCCAGTGTTTCTTCTTTCTTGTATTTTGTTTTTTTGTTCTCATGATGCTGTTTGTCTTTTTTTTGTATTTTTCAATATTATCTTTTTGAATATTTGGCACCCTTTCGTTTCTTCAAGGTGATGCTATCTTGTCGCATCACAAAATTCTTTTCTTTTTAGTCCGACCAACAATACATCTGTTAAGGCTCTTTTCATTTTCAATATATTCACCGTCTCTCTTTTCGAGTTGCTTTCTGTTTTGGCGTGGGCATTCTTCAATAAGAACCATTTTACAGTTCTCAACACCGAACTCATCAAACGATTTCATAGAGTTAGGATTGGGGGATTTCTACTGTTTAGATAGGATTTATAATCTCTTCTATGTCTTGCCATTATTTGACATAGTTTTGCAGTTGTTGAACTTATATGCATATATCTTAAATCATCTTTTCGTTATGTAGTTTTCTTATGGCATAATGTCCAAACGGGAGGCTTTCAACATCTGAATACCAGTAGCGTTTATTGTCCTAGTTGCTTAAAGCATATTTAGTCTGATTAATGCTGTAAATTTGATGGTTCTTACTTCTGATAGTGTTAAAACTGACTTCTTCTTTACAGTTTCATTCATGTCAAAAGATTGGCCAAACCATGGCAGAACCAACAAGGAACTTTGAATGTGGGACCTAGCTTCCATGTGAATTCGGACCCAAGATTGATTACTGAGGGAGCAAGCCCAACCCGTATCTGGACATATCTGAATCCAACACAAGCTGTGCTTGGCAGGGATCGGAGCACATGCAAATGTACAATCTCATTCATGCGGGCATCTGAACCATTCTGAACCGCTATTTATCAATGTTTGGGCAGAACAGGACAGGAACACCCATCCTGCTTCAGGCCTCCAATGTTGTATCTCAATATTCTGAAACTTCAGCTGAGAATCGGCTTGAATATGCACGCCCATACTGCTCCTGGCAGTTTGTTCTGCTCCTTACCTAGGTGCACTCCTCCTAGCCCTCGCCCTACTTAAACAAAAGGAAACACAAAGCTATTCAATTCAGGACATGTTGCTCTCGAGGTTTCTGAACTAGCTTTCGTCAAAGGTCGACCGGCAAACTTGAAGAACACCGGCCAATCCAAAAGCAATCCATGGATTCATCCAGCCAGCTGTGAACAAAAGTTGACTGATCTGCCTGTCTGCGAGTGTCTATAAAAATGCTCACCTTAACGTTACGACTTGATCGTTTCACATGTTTCACTCCTGAGCATCAGTGGTCCGCGGATGTCGGAACCTGACCCCCCACATCCATCCTCTCCATCTAAAATAACAATATCAAACAGTTATCAGGGCTGACGGCTGACGCTTTGAAGCCTCCAAAAGTTTCATATTAAGAAAACAATACATAGCCAAGCCAAGAACGAAAAGTAGCGTTGTAAGTGGTTGGTCAAGGGGAGGAGTGGGAGAGGGCGCAATCGCAAGCGCTCTGAGCACCTTGGGACGGCTGGGCGCCTCTCTGGAATTGCCTGCGAAACTGTGAGCATATCCTTCTTTTCAAGTTTTGTCCTTCTTTCTTCCTCTCTTCCGTTGCGTATTGTTCGCCCAAACATGTTCCTGCCAGGTCCTGCCATAAGGCTAGTGGCTGCTAGTGAGACAAGAAAGTTCTCTGACATTGAGCATCTTTTTGGAATCCTCCTCGCCTCATGCTCCTCCTGGCTGGGCTTCGCAGGGTGTCGCAAGCGTAGCACAGCAGGTCGCTTCTCCGGTGGGCGAGGGGATGGCTCCTGCCACAAGCGGACCTTTGGTGACAAGTGACCAGCAATGCACGGCAATGCATAGTGTTTTTGAATGGTCAAGGGATATGCAGGCTTGCTCAAGCAAGGTCCTTTGTAGCGCTGACGCTGGCCCTTGCGGCATATCCGGACTTTGTGTGGTCTGCCTTGAGCCGGCAGGGGGGTGGGTCAAACACCGCTCCCAAAAACAGCCAAAACAACCATCAGGGTCACCATGCATGGTGGAAGCTTGTGTTTAACTTGCCAGGTGTAACAGTCAGCCGACATGCCCACTCAGCCCCAGGCGACGGATCTGAGGACAGGATTCCAGGTCATAGGCTTTCGCTCAACTCGAGGTGTGCTCTGATAGCCTGAGCGCATCATTTCACTGCTGAATACAGAAAACATGAAAAGAACGCAAGCGGCCGAATTGCCTGATCTCTTGTCATGGACAGGCGCAGGGTCCTGCCCGGTGGCATCTGCCCATGCAGCCAAGACAAATTCTAATCGTCGGTGCAAAAGTGCAAGGAGCACGTGGCACGGTGGTTGGCATGAAAGGGTATGAAGTAACTCGCGCATTCCACGTGTTCTCTGCGGAATGATTGGTATAACGGTATACCTAAGGCAAGCCAGGTGGCATGCAGAATCACTATTTTGAACATTTTGAACCACTCATTGGGTCATGGGGTGGAAGTCGGCAGCAAAAACAACAGGATGAACGCGAAGAGGTCTCATGATGGTCTTTGATCTTTTCATGGGCTCAGTCAGGGCTCGGGATGTTTGGTTTCAGGTCAATAACTGAGCTGCGAAGCAAAGTCCTTGGAAGAACGAGCAGAGCTTGCCATTTTGAAAGCCTCATTTGCATGACTCCGTTTGACACTGAAGCTCTTAAGCCGCAAGAATTGGCACTACCATTTCAAACGGCAGATCGGACACATGCTGAAAACGTTGCCATCAATCAAAAGGGTTGCCGAAGGCACTGCCGTCGTCCAGTCTCCAACGCCGAAATTGCCATCGCGAGCTCCAAGGTATTGTAAGAAAGCACTGCCAGAGGCGATGCTTGAATCTTTTGCTTGGGATGTTGTCATGCAGTGGTCGTGAAGCAAATGTGCGTAAGGCATCTCGAGGCTGATCATTTCCTATATATTTGATCCAAAAGACTTAGACAGTCAAACGACATGCATAATAAAAGCCGGCTGCTTTGTCAGGTGTTGTCCAGCCAACAACTTCTGTAGCCAAAAAGAACGCATCTTCTGTTGAGGCCACACGGAACTTAAGTTTTCCTAAACATCCAGAAACCACATGAATAGTGCGAGCGTTTCCTGGAAGAAGCGTGAGCTATCCTGCGTTCAAGGTAGTAGCTACTTAAGCTACTAGCTACTTAGCTACTACTAGCTACCTACCTCTAGCTAACCTAATACCTACCTACCTCAGCCGCCTATATACCCCCCTGGTCCAAAAAATGCGCACGGTCTCTCATCACCTCGAAAAGCATGGCTTTTCTGCCACACCGGGTGTGCTATTTCCATAAGAAGTAAAGGATGGCAAGCACAAAGGCCTTGCGCATCAAGACCGCGAAAGCAATTTGAGTGCATCATAGTGCATCAAACCACAACTTGAGGAGTGCTCTGTGCACAAGTATAAAGCTTGACATGAAAGTCCTCAGGCCATCGCAACAGGAATCACGTAGACCTTGAGGAAAAGTAAGCAGGACTGTCTGACCCACCCACTAACATAATTTTTGCAAACTTATCAACTTGAGGCCGGGGGTTGGTGACGAAAGCTAGCAGGGTCTGGAAACGAGAGGTGGTGAGAGGTGTTGAGTATATATATAATATATATATATATTGTACGCATACACCTGAAGCCGAGTAAGGAGCGTTGAACCCTGCAGTGTGAGGTGTAAATTGTGGTTTTGTGTAAACCGTGTTTTTGAGTAACCGCTGCTCGGTGTTAACCAGGGGTTGTTGTAAAGGGTGTGTGGTGTAAGCCGTGGTTTGGTGTAAACCATGGTTGGTGTAAATCGTGGTTCGGTGTATGCAAGCCAGGTGGAGGAGAAAGTTTCTGTGGAATAAGCAGGTCATGAGGTATGCTACGAATCGATGGAAACATGCCGCCAAACGCAGGCGACGAGGGGAGGATAAGGACAAGGAACACGATGACGAAAACGATGCGGCCACCAAGACGACGACGAATGCGACAGTCAAATGACCTCCACAGTGTATAGATGCCTATAGTATCCTATAGTAGATTGTCCTCTCCAAGGCCTCGGTCGGAGGGGGGGTTGAACCTGGGGGTGGGGGGGTCTACAGATAAATTATTCATTGGGTAAAGCAAGAGTATCTCCAGCTAGCTGACGCTAGCTTTCGTGATGTGTTGAGTCATTTCACTATGAAAACAAATTCGACTGGCTGGAGCTGTTGAAATCATAAGCCAATGAATCATAATGAATCTGTCACACGAATTCTTCGCTTTGCTCCATGATTTTCCTCTGGTAGCCACAAGCGCCGATGAACTAAAAGAGCCTGCCTGCAAAAATTGCGATGTCCCAGCAAGCAGGTCCTGCTTGCACCTCTCTCCCTTTGGGAGGTCTAGGTTCACCAGGGAAGGTTAATGGAACTCAAGGTCATGCCTCCTAGAGTTTTGAGCGAACGCAGACCGTTGGGCCTTCGGCCACTTGTAAAAGACATATGCACATGCTCCACAGGGTGTACCTAGAAGCTTCTTGTTCATTGTTACTAGTAGTAAGGCACTTGTTACTAGTAGCGATGCACTTGTTCCTAGTAGCTTCATGCACATGCTCCACAGGGTGCATCAAATTTAAACATGTATACCTGCGGTATATCAGGTCCGATCAGGGCTGTCAGGTCTCCCGGTTAGTGGTAACCAATGTTGCAAATACCAGTGCCAATTGCCTCTTCGTCCTGCCAGGTCGGAGGGCTCCAGTCACAAAAGCACAAGCAGTTCCTTAGAAGAACGGGTCCTCCCATGCCAAATGCATAGCAGAGCCAGAGGATTTTGTGGCAGCACTGATCACCATCACATCTTGCTGAAGCTTTCCCAAATATCCTGAAGGTGGATCAAATTGGATGCAGGTTAAACTGAGCAAACAAGGCTCCTTAGATCTCATCATGGCTGCTCAATTTGGGTTTTCTGGGTTGGCTTGTGCAATCTTTTGCTGCTAAGCATTGCTAAGCCTCTGAGCACTCGCGGGTTTTGCTTCACTGCTTCGATGGCAAAGTCTCGATCCTGCGAAAGAAAACAGAAACACACACACACACTATCTGATATCATATAAATGGCTGTGCGTCGAGGACGGAAAAAAGCGGTGACGAGCGCAGTCCTGCTGCAGCTCGTCTGCGGCAAAAAGGAAGGCCATAGGTTTCTGCAGTGACACGGAATGTGAGCCAACTCACGGAATGTGACATTGTCATACATTGTCCCACTTCGTTTTTGCAAACTCACCGGCGTGCAATGTTTTGCAACTAGCCTGGCAAATGGCTGCCAGCATGAAATCTCGATCACGTCGCCTCAAGCATTTTGATAAATATAAATATATATAATTATTTATACTGTTCTCTGGGTGATTCCTTGCTACCACAGAGTGTGATGAGACATGTTGCAATTCGTCAGCAGCAGCTTGCAAGGAGAAAACATCGCTGCGGAGCGCAGCCATCACAACCTTACTCGAAACTCAGAAACACAAGCACATTCGAACATGCAAGTCAGCTGGCGAGTGAATGGCAACAACCTGGAAACGCACACTTTCTCTGGGCCAATGCCATGTGTGGAGCTAGCAACTATGGCGATTACTCACCTGTGTGCTTCTCAGCAGCATCTGGATCAGCCTTGAGGCAACTATCTGCCAACTGAAGGTGTCGGCCAGATAGATTTATCAAGGCCAGCATCACATCCTGCAAACTACGGAACCATCTTAAACCTGAGCGCCTGAGGCCTTCAAGGCAAGTCACAGCAAAATATAGTAGAATTGTCTGGACCATATCTGTGCTAGATCTGCTCCTTGTTGGCAGTGCATTGCGGAGGCAACAGCATCCAAGCCTCTGGGCTGCCCTTCAAGGCGGCAACCACCACATCACGATCAGATCGCAGCTCCTGTCACATGAGACAGGCAGGCAAGGTGCTTGCAGCCTTTTGATCTGCTACCAGGTGTTGAGTACACATTCACTCTCATTCTTTCAGCCTCTGCTGCATGCTGAATAGCATGACCAGTCTGAGAAACTGCAGCCATTACAACTTCCTGCGGCGAAACAGAGACAGGGACATTACACTATTACACCGCAAGCGCATGCAATCACAGGTCAACCGCTGAATCGAATTCAAAGGGCTTGGATCAATTTTTCAGGGCGCCCGCAGATTGGGTTTGACCTTTAATGCTGACGACACATTGTGACGACACATTCCCGAGGACATAATTGCCCCTCAGGACACAATGCGACGACATATTGTCTGACGACACATTTCCTCCGGACGACATGTTACCCCTTGACGACACATTGCGACGACACATTCTGTGACAAGCAATTGCCAACCAACGATGCATTCTTCAGAGGACGCATTTCTTCAACTTCATCCAGTAGATTAACAGCGTTTCAAAAGCAGTTTTGAAACTTGGAGGAGGGACTGCATGAGCACTTTTCAAAAAACAACAGACGTAGATACGCGCTGGGAAACCTAAACCTGTGCTGGACATCATTTGTTGTAGGCACAGCGCGATGGCGCTACGCTGCGGTTTGTTATTGTTTTCGTTTGGGCTAGAACAATAAAGGCATGGCAGAACGCTTATGCCACTGCGCAGGGTTTTCAAAAAATAGACACACAAAAAGAAACTATATCAAATCATATACACAAAAGTTTAAATGCGTGATGTTGACGTTTACTGTAATATGGTGTGCATATATATATATATATCACAATATATATATATACATACATATATATATATATATACGAACATAGCTGTCGCTCTCGCTCTCGCTCTCTCTCTTTCTCATCAGTGCATTCGAGTTTGTTGCCTATCCTATGGATAATTATGCAGTTTGGGGCATCCCCTCGCAACCACTTGCACAATTTTAACCAGACTTGGGGTTGCATGTCAAGGAGCGCTGACAAAGAGAATGTGATCGCGAGCAAGCCGCTTTATTCTCAGCAAACCTCTCCTTCCTTTACAAGACTTCTTCATGGAAGTGAAAGCGCGTCCTCTAAGCAAACCTGTCTTTGCGTTACAACACTCTTCCGAAAGCAAGTAACTTTATTTTGATCAAGCCTCTCCTTTTGTTGTAAGACTCTTTCAATAGATCCGCGCCTTTATTCTAAGCAAGCCTGTCCTTTCGTGTCACTACTCTTCCCGTGAGCAAGCGGGTGTCTTCTACAGAAAAACTTCGTCAAACCACCCTTTCCGCGAGCAAGCGCCCTTCTACTGAGAAAGCCTCTCCTGCTTCCCACAAGAGTTTTTCCACCAGCCCTGTCACATGTCGTCTGAAGTACCTCAGAACAGTTGCCTATACTTTCTGAGTGGCGTGTGCTGAACTTCATCGAATTTCCCAACAAATTCTATTTCTGCATTTGGATTTTGCCCCTCTCGCAACCGGTTCGTCTATGTGGAAGTCTTCGTCGGAATTCGTGATTGAGGAAGTCTTCAGAATCGTCTTCCCGCAGGCTTCGTTTTCGGAGAGCAATTTGCCTTTGGGGCCAACTTTGTGGTGGAAATCATCTTCAGAATTCGTAATTGGAATTGCACAGTGGCCACGATGTGATTTAATTGGCTTTGGGCAATGTGGGTCAGCCCCGAATGGCCCCGTTGTAGACATTCTTTTTCATGTCTCAGGTAAGTTATTGGTGCCGCTGGAGGGTATCAAGATGTATCAAGTTTCAGCCGCAGCCACCTTGATATTCAGGCTTGAGACTTGGCTGGCATAGGCTGCATTAAATTCTTTTGAGAAGGAGACACTTGGGACAAGTGCCCGCGGACCCTTGTGTACACAAAGTCATACCATGCATCATGATGCAGCGCTGCCTCTGCAAACTCTCATGCCGATGGCGACAATGACAACAAGACATGTGAGCATGAAGCGACGACCATCTTGCACTTGCAAGGAGCAGTTCTCCTTGTCACCTCGAAGAGATTCGTCCGCGAATTGCAAAGCCACTCCGCTCTTCTCCACGGCGCGAAGGACAACCTGGCTGAGGCTCAACTTATTTTTTCAACTAGCACGATGCTCTGTCAAGTGCTGATTGAGAATATGAGGCGCTTGTGAGCAGCCTGGGGTTTGGATCTCACGAACCACGAGCCCAAACGCATTTTTCAGCGAAGCGATCGTAAGCTGTTGGGTACGGACTGCACGATGAAAAACGCTCACAATGCGAGATCGGCGAGCTCTGCTACTTTCATGTTCTTTCTTTTTTTCAGGATTGTATACAATATTGTATAATATGACTTTATGAGTGTATATGTATAGTTATATACATAAAATATCACAAAGATATGTATTTATATATAGTTGTGTATATATGTACATATTTGTTGATAAGTGATAAGCTCCTTGGGCAGTGCGTGCCTTTGTCCAGAACCTTCAGGCAAAAGCATGTTCCAATTGGGTTCTACCAGCTGGGACGGCTACTTACGCGCATGGATGGGTCGAATGAGCTGATTCGAAAGATTCGGATGGGGTTAGGGCGTGCGGGCTGGGGCAACGGCAATTGGCAATGACCATGGTGCTAGGATGGGAAGAGCTTTTCAGCTCCCTGCACAAAAACGATTTTACATTATGCTTTTATTTCGGTCTGACATCACCACTCAAAGAAAACAATGGCTCCAAGCAAACCAGGTTCGGTGGTGTGTATGAATGTAGTGACGCGACAAAATAACGAACTCCTCAACCTTAGATGCCAACCATTGTCGCTCTTGGTGCAGTGCACTGGCTATGTCAGAAGGATTCTGTAGCTGCCACATGGGATCTCAATGTGTTTGCAGGGGGCCTTTTCAGTGTGAATGGTTCACTTCTGGGATGGTACAAGCACGTGCATCCTACGTATATACCAAATAGCAAGTCATTTCGCAACAGAGTTATATATATATATATGCATAAGTTGCACAAATGTTCTGCGTGTTTCAATCGCTTTGTTCTACACCTGGCCTCCCTATCGGCACGTAGCGTCTTGGGGGCCGCCCGGAGCAGTCTCGGGGCTTTCTCGGAAGCACATTTCCGCAAGCGCTGCAGCATTTCTGCCTGCAAGTGTGCGGTTCGGAGCGGGGAGTTGACGGAACACTTAAGAGGAACTACTTGAGGCCATAAAGTAAAGTCAGTCAAACACCCATATATTCAGATGACAAACTAGGTGCCTTGGCAACTTCGTGCACAATTGGAGCACAGTGCAGCAGTTTCTCATCGCTTCAATTTACGTGATTTACATGCTCAAGCTCGAGTCTTTTGCAAACGTGCCATTCAGGCCTCTTCAGGGGTGCGCCTCAACAGCGTGAGTGACTTCGAGGTCTTCAGGCGATGGCTGTCCTTCAATTCCTGATAGCCTTGGCCCAGAACTTATGAATATCAATTGAGTATACAATACGTTACACACACTCTGACATTGGTTTTCAGTTAGCTCATTTCCCAGGTCACAAGGAATGATGGAACCGCAAGGCGAAAGAGTCGGCGAACCGGAATTGTTGAACAATCTGTTGACATGTCTGCAGTGTCGAACGTCAGCGCAACTCAGCTGCAAGAAACGCGGAAAAAAGGTTTACGGGAGGTATCATGCAGAACTACCATGGAAGCAAGCCAAGGAAAATTAGGGTCACAGCTTGTGAAAACATAGCAGGTACAGGATCAAGCGTCCTTGATCCCTTCCCATCTGTGGTCTTAGCTTCGTTGCGTGCAGTGGACCACAGATGCTGCACGCCCCTGCATTTGTGGAAAAAGGAACCCTTAGGAACAGGAATTGACACACACACGGCGCCGCTTTGCGGCGCTCGTGCGAACGACCTGAATAGGCACCTAAAAAGCCTTAGAAACAAAAGAAAGAAACACAGAAAGAGCAGCGCTAAGAGAGCATGAGAGAAAGATAGGTGTAGGGGTAGAAAAAAAGGTGAATACTTAGCCCTTGACTCGAGCCTCAAGAACAACCTAAAAAGCCTGAGAGAAAGCCCAAGAAACGACCGAAAGCGTAAGAAAGAAAGGGGGGGGCAGGGAGGGGGTGTATGTAGCA